TTTTCCACTATATGCATCCGATGAAGTGGGCTGTAGCCCACGAAAGCTTATGCTCAAGTAAATTTGTTAGTCTCTAAGGTGGCACAAGTACTCCTGTGCTTTTTGCGGATACAGATTAACACGGCTGCTACTCTGAAACCTACTAATACTCTGTCTCCCCACTACCCACCAGGCTTGCTGACCTCCTGTTTGTTTTGGACCTCTGTGTTGCATTGGTAAAAATTTTAGTAGTGTTTTGCGTACTTCTTTTTATTATATTGGCTTTTTTAAAAGATCTGGGAGAATTTAATTCTCCCAATTTATACTCTCTATTTTTAAATTAGAATTCTAAGAGCAGTCAGAGGAATAAGTGAAGGTTAATGAAAGCTGCAGCTGCTCCAGCACAATTAAAAAAGCATTTTTATATTCACACTGTCTGCATAGTAGTGAATTTCTAGTGGGTTTTTTTTCTGGTCCAGCTATTACTGATCATAAACTTATTTATTTTATGACAACAATTTAAATAATCGTGTTTTTTAGTGAAAAATGTGGTGGTGGTGGTGGTGGTGAGAGTACTGAAGAATTAAAGGTTTCAAGGCCAAAATCTGTGCTGAAAACAGTAGGGCTAGTATGTCTGAGGGAAGAATTTGACCCTGTATGTTGGACCAATGGTGGGGGTCAGAGTGGAGTGAAAAGGCAGGTTGAGTGACGTTCCTCTGTACCAAAAAAAAAAAAAAAAAAAAAATCGATACAGGAAAAATATTAACCAATTGCTTCTAAGAATCCTTTTGAGAAGCAGTCATGTCCAGATCTCTCTCTCTCTCTCTCTCTCTCTTCCCCCCCACGGCTGTCAGGTAGCACTTTATCTGTGAAGGGGGAAAACTCTAGGCAATGCCTCACTTCATTCAATAACCTTTCCTCCAGCTGGTTAAGGAATTTATGGATTAAGAAGTCATGTCTCAGAGAGAGTCCCAGCCTCATCCCTCCACAAATATGACAGTGAATTAAGGATTGGAGGGTGTTTGATTAAAGACAAGACAATAAAGAGGATATTACTTTCCAAAGGAAAAGAGTACATGTTATACAGAGTGAAAATGTATTGAAATTAGCTTCTTTAAAAAAGTTTGAAATTGATTTAATGTTGTATTTTAACTTAAAGTCTGAAATTAAGATTGGTAAGAAACAACTGTAGCTTTACAAAACACGATTTCTAGTTTTTCTAGTTTAAAAAGCTTTTTGCTTTTATATAAAAATAAAAGAAAGTTCATCAGTAACTTTTATTTGATACAGGGGCACACTGTCAAATGCAGAGATATCCTGGAGTAAGGTCCACTAAATTTGAACAGTCCTCCTTTGAAAATTTACTCTCAACTGCCCTATTCTTGGATTCCTTACCCAGGCAAAACTCATGAGAGTTTTGCTTGAGTAATGAATCTAGGACTGAGGCCAAATAACACAACTGCAAATTGACTTGTACATGATTATTCAGCAAGGATTGTCTTGAATCAGTGAAGTGTAGAATAATAGAACTGTATTTTTGTAATACTCCCCACAAGTAACAGTAACAAATAAGTAGAGCTGGGTGAAATTTTTTGGTCAAAACCTTTTTGGCCAAAAAATGCACATTTAGGTTGACTGAAACATTTTGGAAACTTGTGTTGATTTCATCCAATTGTTTTGGTCAGCAGATGGGGGAGAGAATCCAAAAAAGTCAATGTTTCATTTCAAAAATATTAAAATGACATTTTGAAATCTACTTCAATTACTTTTCAAAAGAGTTTTTAAAAACAAAACAAAACTTTTGGAAACACAATTTTTTAATTTTGGGTCCACAAATGTCTTATTTGAGCAGAAATGGATTTTTAAAAATTTTGTTTGCTGCACTAGCTTGTGTTTGTAATAAGTGTGAACACCAATTGAGTAGGAATTAAAAATTACAGGCAATCTGGGAGAGGAATGCACTCTTCAAGTGGTTGAAAGCACTTGGTTTTCAGTGTTAAACCTTATAAAAATCATATGGCTGTAATAAAGCTCTAGAAAAGCAACATCTTTCAAATATTATTACCTAATATTATGTAAACAAATATTAAATTGCTAGAAAGAAGAGTACCTTGGGCCCAATCCTGCTCCTATTGAAGTTAGTAGCAAAATTCCTACTTACTTCAGCGGGAGCAGCACTAGGTCCCTAATAACAGGCCCCGATAGTGGGATTAGAGATATGTATACTGTGCTAGGGCACCAGTACATACTCGTTCTAGCACGCATCTGCAGAAGCAAAAAATTGAAATACATAGCTGTGAAATAGCTTCTTTTATTCAAGGATTTCAATATG